TCCCATCAAATCTTACCAGCATTTGTTTTAAAAATGAACACATATGAACATTATAAACATAACATAACATATATTACATTCTGCATCCATTTTCAAACCACTTACCGTTGTTCACAGGGGTCTGGATCCTATCCCAAGAAGCTCAGCCCTATGCAGGACACAAACACATAAACTCCATAGGCAATCAAATTCTATGGCAGTGTTTCTGGTTCTCAAGGACCCGCTGATGATCCATGTTTTTGCTCCCTCCCAGCTCAGTGCCAGACAGTCCACATTTTTGCTCCCTACTGGATATTGGGAGGGAGCGAAAACATGGACCGTCTGGGGGTCTGTAAGGATCCGGTTGGGAAACACTGCTCTATATCAAAATAACTGTCCAGAGTCCAAGAATACAACTGCAATTTTATATTTAACTCCTTTAATATTTTTTTCACAATGTTAAATTCCTTATTTCCCTGCATGATTAGCTGCTAAACATCTGAATTTCGATTAAATGGGTGACCTAACTTGAACTTTGAGCAATGTTTAACGAAATGTTATAAAATGTGCGTGTTTGTTTGCGTTGCTCTTATTGGGAGAATTCATGAGGAGACCTGCTGAATAATGTACACAGACTGGTTTTTGAATCATACCTGCCTCTGATTTCATCCTGGTTCCGTGCTGCTTCTGGGAATCTGGGAAACATCATTACCTTTATTTCCAGCCTGAAAAGGTGGCTGGATAATTGAGTAATTCCACTTAACCACCTGCAGTTTCACACACACACATATGCTCTCATGAAGACCTTATGATGCTGCATGCATACGTCTGTGTCTCTCTCCATGGGTATCTCCATTTATAAGCAATGCAAATCGAATTATTTAAAAATCCAGTGATTCACAAACTTATACTGCGTATATATATAATCCTATCTATAGCAAATATACTGTCTTTCACCTCATGTTTTGCCTGCATTTCTTTGGCATTGGGGTAACAGGGAGCGGGACAGTATATATAATTTGCTGCTCTTTAGCACTGTTTATCCATTGAACTGACAGTGTCCATTGATATATAAAATGCATTTATAGGTTTAATTTCAGACTCTCACACCAACAATTGCGGAACTGCGCACGTAGAGAAAAAAAGAGTGTCAAAAGGTAAACACTCAGCTGGAAGCTGCCAGAAGTTGCTAACGATTCATTCAGAGCAACCTTGTCATACTAATTAGTCAGTAGTCATGGTGAGACCTTGATGGCTTTTAAAGTTTATGTTATTTCAAAAGAATGCAAATCAAATTGTGCGAGTAACTTGGTAATTATTGCTTCTACAGAAGCCTGTATGGAATGGCCATCAAGGTAAACCAAATGCATGATTTTTGTTTTTGGACTCATTCTGACTGATTTTTATTATTGTGAGGAATCTGCTCTTAACTGTAGATGCAACATCGACATCTTTGCGTCAGCTCTACCATCAATGCACTTCATTAAAAGGTCCTTTCAATTCAAGCTTATATTAGCTAAGCAGGCCATTCTCAGTTGAGGCTATTTCCATTTAAGCGTGAAAGTTAACAGGTAAGAAAAATTTGCACTAACATTGCTGGAAATGCTATTATGACTGTAGAATCGGATATAATCATGCTGAAAGGCAAAATCACATTCATATTTTATCATGTGTGATTATACTTGCAGGATACACCAGTGACTATATAACCCTGAGGGGCAAATCTCCAGGGAAATATAGTGTGACCTTGGAAATGAGTGACTTTTGAATTCTTATTAATTATATTTCATTCATAAGATTATTCCTGTGACAAAACTGTAAATGAACCTATGAGGTTCCTCATGCCAGATCAGGTTCTTATAGTTTATACCAGTGTTTAGATATACAGACATGGACAAATTTGTTGGTACCCTTAAAAACACAACTATCTCTGAAATAACTTGAAACTGACAAAAGTTTAATGGCATCCCTTATTGTTTATTCCATATTTAACACAAATCAGACTTTGAGTATTTTGTATAATTAAACAAATGAAAATAGCACGGACAAAAAAAAAGATGGTACCCTTAATTTAGTATTTTGTGGCACCACTTTTTGCAGCAATCACTGGCAAGAAGTGATCTCTGTTCTTCACAATGAGACGTCTACATTTGCCAGCAGGTAGTTTGGCCCACTCTGCCTGAGCAAACTGCTCAAGATGCCTCCGGTTTGAAGGGTGGCGTCTCTACACTGCAATTTTCAGATCTTTTCATAGATGTTCAATAGGATTAAGATCTGGGTTCATGGAGGGCCATTTAAGGATAGTCCAATATTTTTCCTCAGCCATTCCTCAGTGCTGTATGTTTTTTGTACCGATACAAATTCCGATACAACAGCTTTTTTTACTTTAATATTATTATTAGAGGTGAACTGATTCCACTTTTCAGTGATGTTACGATCCCAATACTGACTCCCAAATCAAACATTGCTTTTTTCGTATTACTCACGTTGTCTCAAACAATTCCATGCATTTTTAGTGTGATTTTCCAATAAACGCTATTCCCACCTCTCAAAACTTTGTTTCAACAAATATTGAAAATCGCTGTGCTACTAGTTTCTGTTAAAAGCGTAAAATACTCCCAGATCGTCAGCCCCCCGTGCCAATGTTCTTATGCTCCGCCTACTGCAAAGGGCATGCGCATGACGTCACAGCGGGCGCTCACACCGCACTCACACCCACTGAGTGACAAATAGACAAATAGAGTGGCAGTGTTAATGTTCAGCTTCAATGCCGCAAAAACACATCTAAAATAGGAAAGAGCTGTCCTGCGATTGATTGTACAAATCGATTTAACAAGAAATATGAGCTACCTTTTTGCAGACTGCTGAAAACGAAATAAATATCGAACGTGCATCGGTCACATATGGCTGATACCCGATCCATCTAAACCTCAAAAATGGGGTATATCACGGTGGCCATGAATAACAGGAGTTTCAGTACTCAGTGAAGTTCGTCTGACCCTCTGAATTACTCGCATTGACCCATAACAATCTCTGCCATCTTGCGTAGAATGTGTGTGGATTATGGTTTATACTGCTTAGTACAATCAGTGATATATGAGGCATACAACAAAGCTGACATGAACATTGTTAATACCATCACCTCTCTTTAATATGTAATATGAATTAAGCCCATTAAAAATATTGCTAGAGCAGTTTAAAAAGTATACTGTACTTAATGTAGTCTCAGTAATAATAATACCACCACCAACAACATATTATTATATAACATATTATTTTCTTCTTATTAACAATAATAATAATTTTACATGCATAAACCAAATTTCTAAACCGTGACATCCAGGTGCTTACAGTAGATCTGTAACACAAGGCTCATGGCCATAGGTGAGGAAGAAGACAGATTGATGACTGATTGATTAACTCCAATTTCACCCACATGGACTTCAGTGACAGCAAAACTGCAGTCACTGAACCAGTCTGCCTATCAGTCTCAAGTGGCATCTTGCTATCACTCATGGGCCAGATGCTGAGGCACTTAAACCCCTTCATTAAGGGCAGACTCTGCCCCCCTCACCTAAATGCACCAATCCGTTCTTCTCCAGAGGAGCATCATGGTTCTGATTCTCATCCCCGCTGCTTGATACTCAGCATCAGATTGCTCAAGCGCGTACTGGAGGTGCTGGTCAGCTGGTCAGGCAAAATCATCACCGGCAAAAAGAAAGGATGCCAGTTCTGGCAGCAGATACTGGACGTCCTTCCAGTCAGGGCAGTACCTTGATGTCCACAAACAGGAGAGGACACTAGGGGCAGGGAACCTGATCCATGGGAATCCAGTGTGGGTGCAGGTTTTTGTGATGATCTCTCAATCAGCCAGTACTACAGCAGTGGTTCTCAGCTCCAGTCCTGGGCACCCACAGCTATTGGATGATTGAGAGGACATATGCTAAAAGCCCACACTCAGCCCTGCATGACTTACCCTTGATTGCTCCCTGATACTCACCTTTCATCTTGCCGGCGGTGAGCCCATAGGTGGCTGCCTTTAGTCATTTCTAGCTGTGCCCAGTCTGATTCTAATGTTGGCCAAACCAGCTGGTGCTCAGTGGAAAAACAGCTCAGGGTCGGCGTCCAGGGGTGACTTTCCAGATCTGTTTTGTATTATTATAGCATAATTTGTGTGGATTTATTGCAGTGCATAGGTAGCCCTTCATATCTGTCCATACTTTAGCAAATGGCCGGGATGTTATTTATTTCGAACAGACCCCGAAGGTACAGATTTTGAGTGGCATAAAACTCTCAAGTGAATTTCACACATCACTTTCATGCATACTTGTGAAGCTGGCCGCAAAATGTGCCGCTTCAATTTCAGTCTGGCTCTGAACGCATTTAATCCCACGTGCTGCAGCTCAGAACCGCTGTCCGAATGGTGTAGAAACATCTAAGGGAGAGCCGTGGGGATTCTGGGCTCTGATCTGCTGGAGTAACGTTCTGAATGCCCATCAGGTCCCGACACGTGATGGGTGAAGCTGAACGCGAGAAAAGCATCCCCCCAAGGCTCTTTAATGTTGCATACTTTACTTGTTCCATAAATAACTAATAAATAAATAACTGGCAGGATGCAGGAGTAGGTGTGAAAGCATCTTCCCCTTCAGATATTGGCGTCATACTGAAAGGCATCTTTGTGTGTTTTTATGGCTTCTTTTTAATTATCAGGTGAAGTAGGCGCTGTGCATCTCCACACAGCAATCTGTGGCCATATTCTGAAAATGAATTCATGCTCAGCACCAAACGATTTGTCTGCATTCCCTTGTGGTCTGCTTTTACTTTCCAGTAAGAAATCAGACTACTCAGAGGCTATATATGTCTACTTATGGTGTGTATTGTTTATAATGTTCATCAAAGTGCAAAGAAAAGTTAATTATCCAGCCGTACGCCTCATTTCAGTGTCTCAGACTCATATTGCTGTACATCCCACTTAAACGAAAGTGGTGTACTTTTTTGGCTGCAGAATAAGGGAATTCCAAGACTTTACTATCCAAGCAGTTTATTGTTTTTACTGAGGTAACCATTGTGTTATTGTTTTTCCAAAATTCTTCTTAAGTGGTAATAAACATAATAATCCAAAAAACAGAGAAGTACATTTTGTTAGTTTGTGTGCAAATGCCACTACATATGGTCATGACCAGCAAGATTACATGCTGGAAAGGAACAAACATTTGTTTGCGTTCAGTAAGTCAATCTCCTTTGAGCCATTATGTCATCATAGTGCAAAACATTATTACACTGATAAATATGTTATATATTTAAATATGCAGTAAGGTGGACAACAAAACATTCCTCTCAAAATAAATTAAAAAAGGTTAAAAACAAACTCTGTTCAGTTCCTACTTCCTACCTCCGTTTTTACATGAATAGTTTTAGGCTGCCTTATTTTATCAATCATTAGTTTTCCTTCAGGTCTTCATTATCCAAAGCATTTAGACCACAATCGGTACTCTGACACAGAGCACAAAACTTCAAAAACCCCTCTGAGTGCGGCACAGCAGCTGAAGGGGTGCTCTTTCAGGGGACCCTCTCCACTGTTATTGGTTTCGAGGCTATCCTGAAACGCAGTACATCCGTGCAAGTGGAATTTCAGCCGAACTGACCGCCGATTCAGTCAGCTGTGTAATTAAAGCTTCCGAGATTTCCCTGAAGAAAAGACAGCCCGCTATTGCAACAGGAAGAAAATTCTGTACGTAAAAAAAAATAAAAAATCAATAAGTTAATGCAAAATATTGTTTATTTTTTATATGTCCCATTCGGAAAGTGGCTAGGCTGGTTCTACAGGAGGCAAGAGATAAAACCTGCAAAAAAAATCATTTCTTCAAATAAGAAGGAAGGATGAAGGCCTTACTGTCCTCTGTGTACTCGCTGGCACATTGGCAGGAAAGGTTTGCTGCCCCGAGAACCTATGGACTGGCCATGCTAAGGGGTTATATTTAAAAAGGAGAGTCTGAGTCCTTGGTGACACCACGGCTCTCTGAAAAGCAGCGATGTACGATGATGTACCAGGGCAGACTCCTGGGGAGCGAGCTGGCGCTGCTCAGGTCTCCACAGTGGTGCTCAGGGCAGGCTGCAGGGCCTGGGTGGTCTGGGAGTCGGGGGCTCTGTGGATGGCGGTGGGAGGTCCCGGGGGCGGCGGGGCGTAGGGCGGCGCTCTCCGCTCTCTGGACGTCTTGCCCTTGAGTTGTGCCTCACACAGTTCCAGCAGGGCCTGCACCTGTTCCCGCAGCGGCTGTGCCTTGAAGCGACGTTGTGCCAAGTAGAAAAAGGCCTCGGCGAAGGCCGGCAGGCTCATCCCTGCGAGAGACAGCGCAATGACTAGGGTGAGCGTCTGTTCCGGAGGAGGCCTACTTACACTGTGAAATCCAGAACGGCAGAGTCTGTTCTGCCCCCCGTTCTGTCACAGAAACGGTATCATTAAAACATCGGCGTGTACATTTCCATTGCAGGGGTGTGTGTGAGGAATCGTCTCATTCACTTTCAGGGAGAGTCAGCAGTCACAGATCGGCAGGTCCCGCGTGGGCTCTGGGAAATGAGTCAGACATCGGGCTGATTAAGGCTAACAGAGACGTCCGAAAGCCGGCTGCCCCCAGGGCACGGCCCAGCCAATCAACAGCAGAGGCTAAGAGGCAACTGCTGATAACGGATGCTTTCATTTAAAAGATGCTTTTTTCCCTCTCAAGTCTTTAAAGCCACATTGCTTTAACGTCTTACTTCTCATATTTTCTTGATATTTAATATATAGCTGAATTATAAGTGTAACTTTTTGAAATGGTTATATGTGCATCGCAAATGTTGGAAAGCAGCCCAATATTTCAACACCTGAAAAATATATAAAAAAATATATTAATTTACTTTTGTTCATTTACTTTTACATACAGTACAGTGCTAATGATGATTCAGGAATGTCAGGGTGAGGTAACTGACGTGATACAGGCAGAGGCGACACGGCTAATACGACAGCACACCATGGATAGGACACGCTGTCTGGAGAGTTCCGGAATGTTCACGAAGCTTAGTCGGGTACTGATACTTCAGAGCATTGTCGTCAAAGTGAGGGGTGGATACAGCATACCTATAGGAAGCCAGTGGGGTTTTGTTTTGGTTAATGGTGTGTGCATCGATTCTTCTCATGTCTCAGAATCTGGTGAAGTATCACCCGTCCCCCCATCCCCCATCCCTCATTTCTCATCCCCCGTCCTCCATCCCCCATCCCTCATCTCCCATACCCCGTCCCCCATCCTCCATACCCCGTCCCTCATCTCCCATACCCCGTCCCTCATCTCCCATACCCTGTCCCCCATACCAGCATAAAACTGTATAAAGCACTAATACAGAGGATGCTGGGAAATCTTCAAAGACAATAATAAGATACTGATCATACAGATAAGATACATCCAATGATAATTTGACAGTATTTAATTTGCTTCCAACATGATTTCCCCCCCTTCAATTCTCAACAAAAAGTTAAGCCCTTGCTTATGTGGATCCATAAGGCACATAACCTGATACAATAGATCAGAACTCAATTAAAAACTCAAAGGATCCAAACACCAGCCAAAGCGCCATCTGTCACT